TACGCATGTACAACTATTCATTTGCGACAGGCTTTATGCCGAAGAAATTCAAAGATGTTCGAATAGTCTTATTAGCTAAGAAAAATGCCATATGCTCTCCGGAGGAGACTAGACCTATTTCTCTGCTTGATTCATTCCTCAAAGTACAAGAACGATTATTTCTCGATCGTTTTTTACAAGTATTGAAGAACAGAGGTATTTTACCCGATTCGCAATCTGGATTTAGAGCTAATCATCGGCTACAAACAAGAGTATTACTGTTGATTGATCAAATCTCGTCATATATGGCCAATAGTTCACCGGTGGCTACTGTATTCGTTGATTTCAAGTCAGCCTTTGACCAGCTATGGTTTTTAGGATGTCTGGCTAAAGTTCGTCGTATGGGAATACCAAAAGCGTTTATCAATTGGATAAGAGTCTGGCTGACAAATCGTAGAGGGCGAATTGAAGTAAATGGTAAACTCTCAAGATGGTTGGCTATATTACGTGGGGGTCCACAAGGTTCCTGTTTCACGCCAACGTTATTTATAACATACCATAGCGATATGGAAGATTTTCTGCCCATAGCAGTGTCGTTCTTTTTTGCGGATGATCTGGCAGCAGTGATAGCTGGAAGAATTGGAATACGATTTACCGACCAGTGTATTGATCTTGAACGACGTCTCCATCGATTCTTCGAGTACTTGGAATTCTATGCCACTTTAGCAGTTCAACCCATAAATTACTCCAAAACGAAAGCAATGTTCTCGGCTAGGGCGGTCTGCTACCCGAACCCATTACCAGATTTACATTGTGGAACCGCATCCATAGAATGGGTCAAAATATTTAAATATTTAGGGTATTGGATCAGTACTAAGATTGGTTGGGGTCATATTATTGGTAAATCTCGTCTTCGCATTAGACAGCAAACTGCGATGGTCAATTCAATTAGATTCGGAGGATCCTCTTCAATTATGCTTCGAAGAATTCTCTTCTCCACATTCGTCCTTCCCTTTTTCACATGGTTATTTGCCATTATGCCTCTGTTTACTGATGCCCAACGAGTAGCACTTAACCATTTCTACTACACATCCTTGAGGCGTATATACCACTGTCTACATTGGGAGAATTTCTTCTTTGCCTCAGCATATGACGAGCGCCCGTTGGATGACCTATGTTATGTCTATTGGTTAAAATTCTTCAGAGCTTTAGCGAATTCGCGGGATGGTTTCTTGCTATTAGAACAGTTTTCAAACAATGTCCATAGATCTCTGTGGCAAGGTGGTTCATCTCGAATTCGTTGTATACATATATCAAAGCGTTTTGTTTCGTATGTGGGCCTGTTTGGATTAATCTCTAAATGGATTCTACAACATGGCACTGTCGATTCGGTGGCTCGTATGACTATGGAAGACTTGGAGACTTTCGCTGCATTCCCGGAATCTTTCTAGTATATATACAACTCATGGGATATTCGTCTGGCTGTGTGTCGTGAATTGTCCGGTGGTTTAATGTTCATCTAATGACATTTTCCTTTTTGCTTTCTCTTTTTTTGTTTTTTTTACTACGTGTACATGAGTCACATTGTCCCTATAGGACCTTCACTGGTCAGTGGGATTACTTTTTCTTTTGCAATACATATATATTGTCTACATAGATTTTTTTTGTGGCTATAAAATTTGAAATCATTGATATTTATACAAATGAAGGATGATGTTCAATGACGAGATATAATGGACGAATAACCTATACCAACTGTGTTCAGACGATTCTATTTAGTTCAACTAATGTCCATATAACACTTGAATATGTTGTTGAGTTGAATGACTACGCACACAATATTTATACAGAATTAGTGATGAAACGACTGTAGAACGTGTAGCCATACACTATATGAAACGAGTCGACAACTTTCTTTTTGTATTCTATAAAATGTATCGTTTACTTATATATATATATAAAAATGGCTCATCGTTGACTCTATGTATGAGTACTATGTCGGTTCAAACGTTTATTCTTGTTAAAGATTCATTTCTTTAACAATTATTTTCCTTTTGTTTCCCGCGGTTGCTTTATTGTGTTAGCAGCCGACATATTAATGTGTCATTTACATTTAGTTATGATGGCTAAAATAAGACGCGATTTTAGCGTTCGGTATTTTGTCGCGATATACTACTGAATGCGATGTATATTTGCTATTCTCGCGATATGATCTTACATAGAACTACGTACATTGACATTGTTGCGCCGCGATTCTTGCTTACGCGACGGGAGTCAGCGCGACTCGCTATTTGTCGTGGTGTGAATCCCGATGCCGCGGCGCGAATCCTGTTGTCGCGGCGCGAATCCCGTTGTCGCGGCGCGATTTTAAATGCATTCGCTATTTTTCTTTTCTTTGAACTCGTACAGTGGTTGTTTTCGTTACTAGGATAGTTTGAAAGCTATTTTGCTTGCTGCCAGATTGTTTTTTAACGTCTCTAGGCACAAAGCATAGATCTGTAGGTGGTATTACCAATAGCGGGGAAATTGGCTAAATCCCAACGAGCACAACGATCCATTCAAAATTCGCCATTTATAGTCAGTGCAAATGAATATTTTTACGGTCTTGTGCTTGCACATGATTATTTGAAACATAAGTCACCGTTTTGGCTAAGAACACTAGCCAAAACATTTAATAGTCTTTTAGGTTTTCACATGAAAAAGTCGCTGTTTTTTAATACAATCTTTTTTAAAATGAAAATAAAGCAACTTTAGGAAATTTTGATGGCATAATATGAAATATATATTTCATGCTGAAGCTTGTTCGAGGCTGCAGAACATGCCAGAAAGTCAAAAACTTCAACATATCGGGTGGTCTTATAATTTTTGACAGTACTATAGATGCACAAATCAAGATATCACCTAAAATATCAGGTGTTTGTATTTCAGGGAGGAAGGATACTTTTTCAGCATCCAGTTTGGCACTTAAGTGCACCATGATTTACCGGCTTACTCTTCGGAACATGATGCACGCAACGAGTACACAGTTATTTTAGAACAGTATAAGTGTCATCCATTATGTGGATGACTCCGTATCTGGCAGAAAATGAAGAAGCCCTTTCGCCTTTTCTATTGTTACAAAGTTGAACTAAATGTTTTTTTGAAGTGTGGCTACGTCAGAAGGTATTTTAATCTAGCATCCTGTGAACGAGATGCTATGGAACTATGCCGCTATCCTCTGTGTGTCAAACAGGACCGAACTGATCTTCGCTACATCCTGTAAGTCCCCAACAACAAAGCGATATTACACCGAGGAAACTCATATAGAGACGATAATCAACCATTTGGTGCATTTTCCACGTTAGTGCATTTATTTTGAGATCTTTTAACACGGTCCACATGCTAATTGAACCTATATAGGCGAATCTCTTAGATTTTGTGCATTTTCTGACAAAGGTAACCCAGTTTTTGACTTTCAAAAAATAGGAGAAAAACGGCTCAACTCCGTAACAAATGTAGTAAAAACGAAAGAGCTTATTTTTTTCTGCTTCCACACACTGAAATTGCCGTGTACTTATCACAATTTTAGTTATATTTGACAGGAACATGATAGAGACCTGCGGTTTTCACTAACTGAAACAGAAATAATCATTCGACTCTCCTGATCGGCAAAAAGTCATATTAAAAAGTGTCTAATGTCGGAGTCGCTCAAACGTCGGTCGCTCAAATGACGGGGTCGCTCAAGTGTCGGTTGCTCAAATGTTGGAGTCGCTCAAGTGTCGGTCGCTCAAATGTCGGAGTCGCTCAAGTGTCGGTCGTTCAAGTGTAGGTTGACGGTGGAAATAAATTGTAAGGTGCCACCCAGAAATTGGCCACCAACTGGCCGTTAACGGCCTGTTTACTGGCCGGTTTTTTGCTGTTTTGAGAACGTTAACGAGCTGTTTTTTGTGCCGTTAACTAGACGTTAACCGTTTTTTTGGACCTGGGTAGTTGATCAAAAGAACACTTTGATGCCATTTTGATCACATAAAGAACACTAGTTCATATCAGAAAACTTATAAGAATACATTTTGCGATGGAATTCCAAGGAACACAGATCACAGGAAATTCGCCGTATACGGCAGTCGTAAACCGCCCTATTTCGTCTTAATACGACCGCCGTATAAGCTGATGTACATCGCCGTACGTGGCCGTATACGATACTTTACGACCGTGTCTATTGGACCTGGGGCTGTCACATTATTCCCTTGACTTTAGTCTAGGGTCTTACGAAATGGTTATCTGTGTGTCTGTGTGTGCGCAAAATACGGAAAAATGGGTGTTAGATATTCTATGAATAAGCGAATCACAAGAGAGAGAAGTAGAAAATTATTTTTTACAGAAGGGAGAAAATATTCAAAGAGATGATCTGAAGTATCTACCGCTGCAGAGAGACAAAAAGCTAAGCAAACGTTTTCTGTAGGCCGGTGATAGATGTCGCCAGATAG